AAACAGTCAGCAGCTTCAAACGTTTTCCAGCGATAGCTCTTCAGCTCCACAAAATATCTTCTCGAGGCAAGACGAAACAATCAACTTCGCTGCCCTGTTTTCTCGCTGTCAAATTGAGCAAAACCACGTTTCTTTCAACCGAGAATTCCATTCACAGTGACACTTGTTATCCACTTTTGATCACTTTCGTAAAGATAATCAATTCTGAAATCTTTTATTAAGATTTCTATTCAATCTTTGGACATTTCTTTGTATTTGTTTTAAAGTTTTAGAATGATAAATGTTTAAAATAGCTAGCGATTCTTTCTCGCTTCACATTTGCCTCTTCGTCGTTTATTACACAAAATTTGATTGGCTAACGATCGAAGTTCGTGATGTATGGAGAATTTGTATTTTGATATGAGAATCAAATTCAAATAAAGATTTATTTTCTTGCAAGTGGTAATGTTTTCCGTTAGTATTTATTTTACAAAAGCAATAGAAAACTTTTTTCTCTGTGTTTACATAGCCTGATAGCAACACTCGGGGGGTTGGGAGAATTCTCGACAGTTATGCAAACCCTCGACTACGTCTCGGGTTTGTATAACCGTCTCGAATTCTCCCAACCTCCCCTCGTGTTGCTATCAGGCTATGTAAACACGGAAAAAGTTTTCTATTGCTTAATTGCAATTTTATTTTATGTCTTCGAGACCTTCATGCAAAGCAAATTTTGTGCAATATACCAATATATATATTATATGAATACCTCTAAAATATAACTTTGGTATTCGAGTTATATTCCCCATACTTACTGAACCTGAGGTGAATAATTGCTTTAGTATAATAATAAACTTGAATATCAGAAAAAAACATGAAATTTGGAATAAAATAAACGTTTTAGTATCACCGCAGAGTGGCAAACCTCATAATTGTCATGTACTGGGATTCCTGTGTATAATATTCTAGTAATGGGATACCTGTGTATTCCGAGAGAGCATGTGATTGTAGTTTTAAGATGGCGGACAAATAAACACAATCAGATGTAATCTGTTAAGTTAAACGACCATCCAACAATAATCATGATTGAGGAGTGATTATCATCTCAGGATCACTGTTCAATCAATCACAGCGATTAAAACTCTATATTCAAGTCTAAAATTATACCAGAACAAAATATCAAAATTAGTACTACTAATGGAGGGTTCATAATTTATGCACAGGGGGCCATGATCTTTCAGTGGTAGAATGTTTGGTGTACATAAGAGTTTTGAAAATTACCTCAATGGTAGAACAAGGTATAAGGGAGGGGGGGAGTGGTTCACGGTATTTTATCATGGTATTTAGGATATCTTATGGGGGGAGAGGGTAGAAAAATAGCACTTACCTCAATGGTAGAACAAGGTATAAGGGAGGGGGGGAGTGGTTCACGGTATTTTATCATGGTATTTAGGATATCTTATGGGGGAAGAGGGTAGAAAAATAGCACTTAGAACATCAGGGGGGCTTCCAAAAAATGTAAAGGGAAAAACAAAAAGCATGATAGACCCCATCTATATAAATTATGAATCCTTCCCAACACTAGCGCAATGTGCATCAAAGTTCAAAAAGCAATCTGGGAAAGTGAGTACTGCAGAAATAGAGCAGGGAAGGGCAAGGGAATATCAGAAAAAAACATACTTTGTTGTTTTCGTCTGCTGAAATGCTTACATTGCCATAACGAAAGTTGAAGGAAAAACTGTCAGATGACAGTGTTGTGTCTTGTCTATCCTACTGATTGATACCCCTCCCCTCCCCAACTAAATCAATTATCATTGGTACTTTAATATCAGTGTATGTTGACACAGTGTTGTGTCTTGTCTATCCTACTGATTGATACCCCTCCCCTCCCCTACTAAATCAATTATCAATGGTCCTTTAATACCCGTGTATGTTGTA